ATAAGTTGCAATTACTGCCATGCAAATGATGATGTGTCCCGCTCATGTTCCTCGTGTGCGCGAGTCCACATTGTTGAACGCGCGGGTCTTCCACTATAGTATCATCATATTCGGTGAATCGGTCCCTTACGATTCTAGATGTCCTATCCATAATACCCCCTCCATACCAGAATACAAGGACATAAATCGGCGTCCCATTGTTCAATGATTGGATTATATGGTCTTCAGTACATGTTAACTACAATGTTATCTCATACGCACAACTACTTTTTATTGTTTTCGTATGATTGCAGTTTTTACTAGGAGTAGACCGGAAGCCAAATGTGCTAGGGAACTGGAAACCCGAATTCGCAGAGCTGAAAACCGCGGCACTACTTAAGGCCGAGTGCCGGTCTGAAGCGGGTATGTAGTTGGAGAGTGCGGGGTATACAACTTCCGGATGGCGTCGAAAGGAAAGGATTGCTTTATGTAGTTGCTATGTAAGGAGTGAGATGTTTATGAGTTTATTGTAAAAGATACATGTGTTCAAAACACTTATCCATATAAACATATATATATATGTGTGTGTGACGTCCACAACGCCACGTGTAATTATGTTCAAAGGTTGGACAGGATGCCATTTGCGTTCGACCCCAAACCGCGGAAGTTCAGTGCGTATTGCTCATAACTGAGACATGCAATGTGTAGTGGCCCTGATACTAGGGTTATATCAGCCGAAACACTAACAATTATTTGTGGGTAAATATACCTCGTGACTATGACATCCAATATGTAAGGCGGCAACAATGGAATTGCCACAGCACATATTGTATTAGTAAAGCCCGGTAAAGCCCAGAATTTCTGGATGTGATGTATCACAACATGCAGAAAGCAAGTGTGTACTGCAAAATGGAACTGTGTAAGTATGCACAATGCCCACGCTTATTTTATTGGCGCCCTGAGTCAATTGGTTTTTTGCGTATAGCCCGCACATCTGTGCTCGCAAACATCTCATTTACGCACGGATTTTGGGCGCATTTTATTAAATCAGTTAGTATTATTTTTACAGAGAAACTCGCGGATTGGGGCTGTGAGGTTGAAGACTCTGCCAATGACATGGAGACTGTGCTAAGTTTTTATTGCAACACTCGCTCTTGCCAGTATAGGCAAGCGTTTAAACTATATGAGTGGCAAAATGCGCTGTTTTAATGTTATCGGTCGGATATAACGTAGTAGTATCATATAGGCCTTATTTGTCGAATGATGTAGTCACAATTTAGGTCTCATCAGATTGTATGCCCTGTATTGTTGTGTAAGTAGCTGAGAATTTCATCACAGATTGGGTAAGGATGGATCTTGGTACATGCATATTTACATACTACATCCGTGTATGGCCTAGCGAGACAATACTAATCAATAGACTACTCTAAATAGTGTGTAGCTTATAGAATGTGCCTAAGGTGCTTTCGGGGAAGCTAAAGTGTACTCGTATAAATATACTTGCGTGTCGCTGTTGATTACACGCAGGAGAAGAAATTTTTCAACCTAGTTCACGTAGTTGAGTGCTGTTCGATGTTTATTGTTGCATGTGCACTTAGAGGGCCGCGACAGATTCGGGTTGTCATAAGATTTCTTGCACTTCCTGGTCTATTTCTCGCATACAAGCTATTCATCAATACCTGCAACGATTTCTGCAACTTAACATAGCTGCCCTCACAGAACAGCATACCTGACAGTGCGCATTGATTGACACGCTGTTCTGTGGCTATTAAAGTTTACATACTCGAGTTTGTAATAGTTGTGACGCTTATCGATGAACACTGTGCGTGCCTGTAGCCTACTCAACCCTGACATCCAAATTATAAATTATAAAATGTGAGCCTCTTACTGTGGAAACATCGTTCGTTTCTGCTAACTACTCGTACGCATTTGTGTCCGACTGTGGCGACAGATATATATATATATATATTATATTATATATATATGTATATATATATATATGTGTGTGTGTGTGCGTGTGTACGTGTATGTGTCTGTGTATCTATATATACATATATGT